CCCCAAAACCCCAAAACCCCAAAACCCCAAAACCCCTTTTCGTTAGGAAAGAATTGAAGGTACGTATTTTGAGCACCGAGCAAGATGGCTGGTTTAGGACAGACTTTTGGCTGAACCTTTAGAGAAGCAGGACAAGGGCCTAGAAGGGGCTTATATAACTGATGAAATAAGAACTAGAAAATGGAGAAATATAGTTAGTGATGGTCGAGGTTAGAGGAGATAGATTAAATCCTTAACTTCTGATAGACGAATTAGCAACCTAACTGAAAAGGAATGATTGAAACATCTTTAGAGGAAAGAACAGTTTATAAACTTTCATGTCTCTTCACGGTGGCTACTACATTTCCGCAGTAGTGGCACTCGTGGATGGTATCCTTAAGTTCACCGACGCACCATGGTACAAGTGCACAGGGGCCCATACCTACGAGACAGCAGACTACTGAGGAAGCATAGACCATGAGTCCATGCTGCTTCCTGATAGTGGTGACACCAGTCTGGCTACAATGGGGACACTTCACGATGACTGGGTGTCTTGAGATGATTCTCTGGTTCTCGTTAATTGTCAGTATTTGAGCATTTTCTCTAAGGCTAGCTGTTCTGGGATCTTCCTTCTTCTCCTCTTCAGCAGCTGGTGCTGGCTGGGCTACATATTGTACAGGAGCCATTGGGAGATAGGTGTTTGGAAGAGGATAACTTGGCTGCACTCTAAAAATTGGAATCAGAAGGCGAACTTGGGCGAACAGAAGAAGGTTTGCAGATAACTTGGAGTAAATATTCTGAAATATCAAGAAAGTATTAAACTTTATATGGTAAGCTTTGTTGATTTATCAAATTTTGGAAAAAGTGAAAACCAAAGGTTAAATAAATATCGTATCTTGATCTTTGTCTATTTTTAGCTCGAGAATTATAAAATGATGAGAATCTTATTTGTTATCTAAAATCTCTATCTTATCAGGACTCACAAATGCATACTAGTTGGTAGAATGATTAAATGGCGAATTAACATAACCTTGGTGTGGCGTAAAGCTAGCTAACCGTCCGATACTTTCCAAATTTCTCCGCTCAAATCCCATACTAAGTCTGACAAAAAGGTCATGATTTGTCATGAGGGAGGTCATTCTGGTAAAATTTTCCACACAAAGCGTTAATTTTCAATTTTTGTATGAAAATGGGCTGGAAGGAAATTTAGAGTGAAATAGAAGAAGTAGAGTAGATTCAGGAGATTTTGGAAATATGAGGACAAGAAGCTGTTTCTGAAATGGGAGAAGAGATAAGCTAGGGTAAGGAAGAGTTAGGTACCTGTGAGCTGCAGTGACTGGTCCAGTAGAGATTACTCTTCCAACAGGAATAAAGTTATCAGAGTTTTGTACTCTTCTATCACCTGGGGTGAAGAGGGTAGCCTTTTGTTCCTTCTTCTCAGTCTTCTTGGTCTCAATATATCCTTCCATTTTCTACTTAATGTTTATACTTTTTGGTCAATATTTTATATTTTCCTGGGGTTTTGGGGTTTTGGGGTTTTGGGGTTTTGGGGTTTTGGGG